GGGAAGCATGGCTTCTACAGCACAGTATCATGATGAAAATATCACTCTACTTTCCTTGTGACTGAACCTTTACCTTCTTTTCCAGGGGGAAACTTCCAAGGCAGAGCACACCCTTCCTTTGCATTATCTGAGAGAATGTTATTTCATTTGTGGGAATTCTTAAAGCTTCAGCACTACATGGATTCTGCTTCCAGTGAACTCAAGCAGCTGCAGATAAGGAAGCTATGTTTAGCACTTCTGAAAATCCCACAGAATGAACCCCTGATATATTGCAATACCAGCAGACTTCAGTGTGTTCTTGGCATCTCTGAGGCACCCAGAACAGAGAGCGAGACTCTGCAGGTATTTGGTCCCAGTTCAGAGCAGGTGAGCTGTGCTCATCCTCTCTATGTTAATGCATGTCTTTGGAATAAGGTATTTAACAACATACATCAGCTATATACATCCGCCACACTCCCACCCTTGTTGCAATTCCACTGAGAACATGTTTCTCAAGTGCAGAACCAAGGAGGAAACGGGAGCCTCAGCTGTTCTCTAACAGGCCGCCCCAGCAGCTGCTAGGGCAACACAACCCACTCCAGCTAAATATGCAAGTATCCGAGTGAGGACATTGCTCCGTATGCACTCGCTTCCCAGAATTTTCTGTTTATTCCTTTGACTTAATTTTTCAATATTAAAAAATACAGGACAGGAGGTCCTTAGGCCACAGTCTTGTTCTCTCTCAATTGCTGCTCTCTATCCTCTTTTGCAACCCCTTTGAACAGATTTCCAACTGTCCACTCCTAACAGCCATCCTGTAGCAGAGCCAGAGGACTCTGTGCACTATTCACCTCTGACAGAACTGCTTGGACATGCCATCAAAATGGTGTCCCAGCTCTTATTTTTCCTCCCTCACAAGCATTCAGCTGTTAAGTTTCATATCTGAAGCAGTTTTGGTACCCTCTTTAAGGGAATTAAGCTAACACCAAAAAGAAAAAATAGTATCTGAAAGACAGACATTGAGGCTAGATTTCCAAATTAATTCGGTGCTTTGTTAAGTTTTCAAAGCATCAGAAATTATGCACTTGGCTACCAAAGGCTTTAGCAGAATATCAGCACCCAGGCCTGCTAAGGAGGCTTTTGATGTCAGGAGATACCACACAAATACATATGTTTCTTAGGAAGACTGTTCCCTGTGAGTGTTCATGCAAATTTAATCTCCCCTCCTCTCCCAAGAAAGTAAGGACACCAATCAGGAGTTTACCCTGTCAGCACCACCTGCACGCAACATGTCTACAGTTCACATCTTCATGTGTCAAAGACAAATTTGCACATATGTTCCTCTATAGAGGCTCTCTCAAATCACATTATCAGACAAAAACGCCAGCTTTACTACTGATTTGTTCTCATGGCACCTGCAGTTATTTCCATCTGTTATAAAAAAAAAAAAGAACCAGAGCAAGCTATAAAGGAATAAACAATTTATTTTTTCTTTACATCAATCTTTATGAAAATATCATCACTTATGTTTTGTGATTCAAATTTCTTGTACCGCATATTGCTGATTTCTAACATGGCACTTAAGGGAACATTCACTGAAACAGCTGCATAAATTCATGAAATAAATTGATTAATTTTCAATTTCTCAGTTAACCATGACTGAACATACAACTCTGTCAAATTTAAGACCATTCATTCATTCCTGATGTCTTAAGAAAAAAAAATATCTGTCCCTTTCTGCTGAAATATCTTACCACATTTATAAAGACTGAGGGGAAAGGGAGAATCTGTCACAGAAGACACCTAAAGAGCAACAAGAAGTCCTTTTTATTGATTACATAGCTGGTAAAAAAACCCCACCAAACAATCTGATAACACTGGATAATAACACTGACCATACGCAGGTACAGGTAAAGCTGAAACACTGTGCAGTTTTAACAGTTAGAGGAGTAGTGCACCAATTTTTTGCCTATTTAACAGAAAATAATAGAATGTTATAAACAAGTAACCAGAAGTTTCACTGGAAAGCCACGTATACATGTCTGAAGAGGAGAAATATTCTGTAAGATGCAATCCAGTGGTTTGGTTTACATCACATATAGTGGGAACCATGCACAAGGAACGCTTTGCACATATGTGCACTATCTTGAAGCTAAAAAAAATAGTCTTGGCAGTCTTTATTTGCATTCAACAGGTCTATTTCCCACTAAGTGGCTGGCAGGAATGTTAAATCCTCATGCACTGTTTCGGAACTTTACCTCTAAATACAAACACTTAGCATCTACGCAGTTCTGCTTTCGCAAGCCCCTGAGTCGCGCAGTATTTTTGCCAGGTTTCATTGGGTTTAAATACTGCCAGTGCATCTTGCACGTCCCTAACTAGTTACTACTCCTCAAAGTTACCAGATTAAGCACCACTAGGAAACTAACATCACCCAAAGACATTTGCAACACCAAGGCAAGCTTCCCCTGGTGTTGTTGCCTGCTATTTGCATCTCGTTGTTCTATGCAGCCTTCCAGTGGTCAGAGGTCAGATGCCTCTGCAATCTTTGACCTTTTAGCTCGGGCATCAGTAGCGATGCTTAACAAAATGATGCCAACAGCTCACCAGGAACTTGAGTATAAGAACATCAACTAATTTCATATTCACAAGCTATCAAAATACTCAGAGACAACATGATTTCCGTAAGCTTTCTAACGCTCGTATTAGATCCACATCGTGGCATAAGGAACAGAGCTCCTTAGTTTTACTGTACAATGGGGTAACAACTTCTATAATGAAACACAACAACACACACACAAATTTAACCATCAGCCCAACTGTAAAAAAAGAAGGTGTCCTGTAACACTGCAGGTCATCTTGTCAGCTAGAGAACTTCCTGAACAGTTGCCCTAAGATTAGTTTCATCACACAACCTAAAGACTTCAGTGCAATCAGTCTGAAAACATCACCTGAAGTCATAGGACCAGTTCATACTGAAGACTCAAAAACCAGGAATAACAGACTTGCAGGAAGGAATAGGATAAGGTACGTACTTCTAAATTCTTTACCTTAACATTTCAACTGTTGCCACTGGGCAGAAGATCTTCAGTTTAGAAAGATTACATTTAACACTTGAAAACAAGATTAAAAAAAAAAAAAGGACATTACAGATTGATTTAGAGACCAGCTCTTTCAAAACCAAGACAGCGTAACTGTAAAATTAGAAAACCTGGTCCCATTTTTATAGTCAAACACTGATTGTAAGTAAAAAAAGAATACAGTACATGCAATAATATGAAAAACCTGCCTAATAAACTCAAGTACACAACCAAGAGTAACTAGAGAATAAAAAAACAATCCAAGCTACTGCTTACAATAGACAAGGTAGGGGACATTTCAGAAGACAAACAACTTCCAAATCAGGATGATCATATCACGCATCCCTCATTGGCAAGGATTCGTTGGCTAATTAAAATTTATATGTCATACAAGAAGCATACATTTTATACCAAAAGTAGTCCTGTAAGTTACAAACATTCACCACTGATTAAATATTTCCCTTCCAGATAAATTGACTGATCACAAATACATTCTCAAAAAAAAAGGTGCTGTGAAACAGAAGCAGGATTTCTCCCTGCACACACTGAAGTTTTGTGAAACAATCGCATGAGTATACCTGACAAGGAAGTCCTACTTGTTCTCAGAAACCCAGAAAAAAGCAGATGAAGTATAAGCTTCATGCACTTGACCGTTCCTGACTACCAGTTTTGGTTTTTGCTAGTTAACCACTTCGCCAGAGCCGAGCTATTTGCTGCCTGCTATTTGAATGCTAGTTTCATCATGATGCATCCAGACACAACATTTAAGTCAATCCAACAGCTCCAGAAAGTCCAGAGAATAGCCAGCAGGAAGGAAACCTTCCTCATCCTCAGAACTGTTTAAGAGTATTGCTAGTCATCAAATGAGAAAGAATGGCCTTCAGCCACACTTCCGTAGTCAGAAACACAGATAAACACCTCAAATGTCTCCTTATATCTCTCTTGTAGGACACGTATGCAACTCTCACAGCAAAGCTCAGCACATTAAGAGAATATTGCATTTTTCCACTGGAAAAGGATCTTGTATTTCGGCGTGCATGCTGTGACCTTTAGGCTCCTTTGATCAATTGATAAATATTTGTTTTGTTTTAGGAATACTATCTCTACCACTCTTGTACAATCATTATACATTCATGCAAAAAGAATGCTGTGTTTCTTCTTAAAGATCAAGACTTCGTCTTATTTTAAGTCCTAAATAGGGAAAAGCATTAAAATTAAAAAAAAAAAAAGCCTTTCACAGATACACAACTGATTAGCTACTAGAAGTCAGTAGTCCTGTGGCCAGCTCCATTCTTCTTCCATAATAGCTATTTTTTGGTTGTGGCTTTTTTGAGACGCAATCAAAAGAGTTAATAGAAATAAAATCGACTAAACAGAATTTGATCTATAAAACCGTTTGCATTAATGAGAATCTTTATCAACACAGCTGCCCAGAAAAGCAAAAGTGATGTTTGATATCACTGTTTCAGCATACACTGAACATTCAAGGACAAATACGTATTCACTTTACCTTTACTTTAAGTACATATATTCAAGTGTTCTGTTTGATGATCCATTTCACATCACTTCAGGAAGAGACAAAGGAATGTAAAAGTTCTTCCTATGCTTCATTCCATACTTTTCTAGTTTGTGACCTCAAGAATGGCTAGTTTATTCAAGGACAACATGATGAAAGCCATTTATTGAACCAACCTGAAACCAAAAAATGTCGTACTCCCACATTGAACCTGCGCTACGAAAAACAGGATGACACCAAAAAACACAGAATGGCAATGAACGCAGTAAACACAGCATGGACTTTTCTTACTACTGCTTCACATACAGGCACTAAATGCACTGCACAAAAAAACCTGGCAACTCAGCTGTTTGACTAAACTGAGACAGATATTAAGTGCTCTACATCAAATTCCATGAACATAAATGTAAACAGAAGTGTTTGGCCTCCATACAAAGCAATATTTCTCAAAGTGCTGGGGTTTGGAAATCTGTCCTGCATATTTCCAAAAGCAACTAGTCTACATTCTGTTTGACAGGATCAATAAAGTGTTTTGGAGGTTAACTCACTTTGGTCACGATCCCAAAGAAAAGTTTATGTTGAGTAGTTTCAACTATCCTCCTCATCATCACTAATAAGGTCCCTTTTTTCTACACATGTCTCTCGTTCACGCAGGAAATCCTCACGAATGGCTTCTAGTTCAGTTAGTTCAAGACGGACTTTTTCCAGGTGATAGGTCCTCCGGTTCCTGATCTGACGTAATGGAAAAGGATTCAGGTCTCCAAAAGCAATGCCAGTCAGTTTCCTGCAAGATTACACAACATTAGAAGACAATAACTCATATTTGGTGTTTTTTTAAAATAAGTTTTGAACCTCATCCTTATGAATATTTAGTATATGGCTGATTTCTCTGGTCTCCTTCACATACCTGACAGGTCTTGGATGTAAGCAGTATTGCAAAAAAGCTCTGTAAAGCACTCAGTTTTAAAGGTATTTCAAGTGATAAAGTGTTATCAAGTGCTCAACAGTTCGCAAAGCCACCTGTAAACTCTCTATAATGCTGTAGTGATGACAGCCTTGACAACACCGAACAGAAGATGTAAGCTCAGCTGATCAGAGCTTCACAGGCTAGGCTGAATCCTTGGTACATCCAATACCCAGCTACAGATGGGATAACTTCTGCATGTAACTCACTGAGGCTTGTTCAGTCCCAGGACAGTCAGCTCTGAAGTGATCCACGATAATGAAGCGGTGTGAGAGACCAGATAAAGCCTGGGATAATACAGACACGGATAATACAAAACAAGGATGAGCCAAACTTTAGGATTCAGTGCAAAAGCTCAGGGATTCTGCTGTCTGGAGCACAGAGAGCTCTGGGCTGGTGTCAACTCAAGCTTGTCAGATCACATAGCAAAGCAGCACAAGGGTCTCCATCACCCTTCCAGAGTCATGCTCCATCGTACTATCATTCAGTCACAGCAAAACTAATAACTGATCTGCCTAACCAGTCCACAGACAGAGCTAACTACATTGCTACTGTTGATCTAGACCTTAAAAAAAAACCAAACTCATTTACTAAGGGAAAAGGGGGAATGGGAATTTAACTTATTCTAGCTTAATTATCAGATGAACCCAAATATTAATTTATTTGGACAATTTATTCAAGGCTAAGCTCTCCCTAGGTTTGTATTTTTGAACGAAAAAGAACCATTTCCTGCTATTTATAAACAGAACTTATTCCAACAGCTTCTCTACTTGTGCACAACATGCTACTGAACACAACTTCCATCTGTAGAAAAACTGAACTATAACATCCTATAATCTAGATATAATTACGCACACGTCCATACCATAGAGACTTTTCTCCACTAGAAAGCTTAAATTCTGTATGAAATAATTTTCTAACCCATTCAGGATATCCATGAATTCCATAAAAATAATATTTCTGAATTTTTCATCTACAAGCTGACCTTTCAACTGTATCAGTAAAGGCCCCATGTATTGTTTAATTTTTAATGCCATAAAACGTCGTACAACAATTGTTAAATAAGAAACCAGGTGGTTGGAATCATCATGCCCTGTCAGTTCCAGAAGCCAAATTCCTATCCCCTAGGTGGCACTACCCCACTACTTTCAACTCCAACTTTTAAAATTCTAAGAAAACTCAGCTTTACAGACCAGCATAGAATACATTTGCATTGTAAATATATTTCATGCACTGAATTCTGCCCTCACCTTAACTTCCCTCACCATCTGCCAAGAGATACCCGATTAGCTCATTTTGTTAACATCAAGGTAAGATCTCTACCAGCAATATTAGAAATCTTTAAAATAGGTTCTTTCAGCACCAGAAAGTTTAGACAGGAGAGCTAAGCCATCATTTCCTTTACATAATTGGAAAAGGAAGAGAAAACCAAATCTGCAGCTCTGATTAAATATAAACATTTTGTTCAAATTAAGTAAGAGCAAAAAAAATTAACTTTTTTTTCCTTTTCTTTTGCAACTTAGTTTCTGATGATACTGCTATGGTACTACTGGTGCTACATATTACATGTGTGATTATAAGCTATAAAATAGCCTAGTTATCAATTATAAAGTATCCACAGATTTGTTTTATTTATTATTTTCTGTTAAAAATATGTGCACCATCTTCTCAAAATCTAGTTCACGTTTCTCTGTCATTTCCAGATTTGGAATCTGGTCCAACAGCTGATTACAACTGTCCAACATTCTTCCAATCAAAGTGGGGAATGCTAAAATACAAACCACCATGCAATTACCCCTCCAGAGTTTTTGAAGAGGTTTCAGCAGAGGAACCAACATCTGCTATCAAGGCTTTTACCATTTAAATCAGGCGCAGAACATTCTCCCTGCATCAGACCCAACAATCCTTTTTAAGCACAGAGTAAGATTATTCAGTTTTAACTTCTCTCCAGGTAAAACTGAAATACAGGAAGTAAAAATAATAAATAGCTCTTGCAGTAGGAGCCAAAGTATAAGCCTAACTCCATATGGAATTATGTTAGAAACAAACAACACAAATTCCAGTATATGATTTTGTACTAAATTCAAAATCAGTGAGTTTCAGTAGCTTTACAAAACATTGTCAGACATCAAACCAATCCCAATATGACTTCCTTTTAATCTTAATCTGCTGCACTTTAGTCTTGAAACTAGGAACCTAAAATATTAGACCCTAATTTACAAACTATTTCCTATGCAAGAATTGAAGAACAGAAGAGTGTCTAGTCTGTATGTATTCTCCCCCTTCAAAGTATATCTTAAAGCCAGCTGGAGTCATGTGGCATTAGCCTATGTATTAACGATGCAGAAGAGATCTAAACTTAAAGGTTCATAGCTTACATGTTAATACTTGGGCCAGGATGTGTTTTTATTTTTCATAAAATATTTCACAACCTCAGCTGTATTCACAATGCAGGGTAAAACTTCATCTATGGTTGAAATTCATAAGCATTGCTACTATGATACAACTGCTAAACAAGACCAACTTGCCAAAGTAATCCCAGTTTTATACCTAAAAATTCACAATTATGCATTCATCACTTGCGCTTTTGTCTGCACTAAATAAAACTACTCAGGAGAAACCTTAGCAGTTAGTTTCATCTCTAGTTGCTTTATATCTAAACTAAGATCTAAAGGAAAACAGAACAAAGAACCCACCCATGACAGACTTCCATGCCCCACCACAGGTCTTTCGCTTACACACAATTTTGAGTTACCCACCTAGCATCAAGTATAGTGCGGGTGAAATATCGAAGGTACTTGAAAATGGACATTGAATCTTGCAGTTTTAAGATTTCCTCTTCTTTGTATTTAAAAAGTGCCAGGGCAAATCTGAATATTACCTGATAAAAACACACACAACGTTTGGTTCTTCTCAAGAACAGAATGCACTGATTCCCATTCTTATCTACTGTAAACTCAAAGGACAAGTGTTACTCTTCCTACACGCTCTGAGCTATCTCAACACACCTCCTTCTGTCTCCCTTCCCTGCCACTCTCTGCCCCGTCCCCCATTTCCAAAAGCTTCCAAAAACTTCTCTTGTGGCCTGTAACCCACACAAGGTGTTCTGCAGTTCTGCCCAGAACACAATGTTGTGTTCACAACATACAAATTCATTCAAGTATTGAGTTCCTAACACAGCTGTGGAACAACGAGTGCTGTGCTTGTTGAATGCACTTAAGTTACTTCAGGGCTAACATCAAGTTTCACTTTCTAAACAGGTTGTTTTCCAATGCCTTGAATTCTCCCCACCCATTGGGGGACTGACGAGGAAGGAACTTCTGACACCAGTTTGTCAGCCAGCTTTGTCAAGGGCTGGAAAAAGCATTATCTCCCTTCATTCTGAAAAGGCTTCAGTAAGTTCCGAACTTCATCAGCCTGTACCTGGCTGCCTTCACAAAATACCATGATGCTTAAAACTGATTTGAACGAATACACAACCAAAATACTACTGCACATTGGAAAGCTCAGACGAGGCCCACGAGATATCTAGCTAACACCCAGTTTTTGTCTATTTATTTATAACTCTCCTGTTCTCTCCAATTGCCTATAACATCTGCTCTAGCATTACTAGCGTGTTTGAATCCAATTATTTTTTCCTGCACCAATTTTATTTCACTGCAATTTCACAAGTATGAAATACAGGAAAATTCTTTCACCTCCACCCCTTAATTGATGAGATAGGAGCCCAGACAGTCATTGTTTGTCAGCTGTACTTTAAATGTCTGCAGAAATTAAACAAATAGTTGCTGCAGACAAGCCAAATATTAGCGCTTGGTCACAACTAATTCTTACATCTTTCCAATACTTCTGCCTTCTTCACTTAATGTAAGAGTAGCTCTCATTTTTATGTAATTACTTAAAACGGATTGACAGCTGCATGTAGGAGCTAACAGCACTGCCTATAGTTTTATTTTTCAAAGGTTAACAAAAAATGGTGGCTGGTGAAAGGAAGACACTTCACATTTAGAATTCTTAGATGTAACTCAAAGTTTTTGACTTGCAGAACACAGATAAAACAAAAACTGTTTTGACTGGTTATTTATGCACATCTCCTCCCTTTTTTTCCTGCTAGTCATTTTAACTGATAGGATTCTTGTCAAACAACCTTCCTCCACCCTGCATTCAATAACACCACAGTATTTTGTTACCAGGTAATGACTGGAAAAACTCATCTCATTCAGTTCACCTTTGGTCCCTCATACAGGAAGGAGTCCCAGATTTTAAAAAGGATGTCGCTAACCACGCTGTCCACAAACACCACGAGAAACCAGTTGAAAGTTATAAGAGTATAGTCAACTTTGTATTGTTCAAAATGAGCGTGCAGTCGTGGAAGCTTCTCACTCATCAAATCCTTGAACACTCGCTGATCGACCTGAAGAGAGGACAAATAGGACACTATTGCTCCTACGTTTCCCAGCATATATATGGTTCAAAGTAGGGCTGTTATCACTCTAAGTGCAAGCTTTTCAAGAGTAACCAGGAAACCCAGGACTGCCTAGTTAACACTTCCAAGCTAGATGCACCACCCTTGCTGACACAGCTTTTTGCTTCTCAGCCCACCCCCAGTCTCACAGGGCTCTTCACACGCAGATGGTGTGTTCCCACTACACGTCACCAGTGCTACACTGGTGCAGGAGCACCAGAGCAGAGAACAAGCTGAGGAAAGGCTTAGAGGGAGGCGGTAGCATGGACCAGAGCACCGCCTGGAAGCAGAGGAGCGTGACAGTATATGCTGCTTGCAAAACTGCAAAAGGCATTCTCATCCCCTCTCTCCC